ATGCCGGCGGTGGCGGCGGCACGGCGCGGTGGTGGCTGCAGCGGCGAGGAGCGGCGGCTGGAGCTCGTCGTTGAGTGGTGGAGAGAGGGAGCGCGGTGGGGAGGGGGTTCCAACGATGGAATGGGGAAAACGGAGCGGGGCCGAGGTGCGGCAAGGCACGGCGAAGCCGCAGGTGGCGGCGGAACAGTACGGCGACGGCTGTAGCAGCGGTGGCGAGCGGATGGAGAGTCGCCGGTGAGCGGCGGCGATGGGAGCAGCGAGGGGAGAGCAGTACAGGGCGCGAGAAGCTCGGGAAAATTGGGGGAAATGGAAAGGGGAGGCCGGGGATGCTTTTTATGGGCTTGGAGCGATGGGATCGTGCTCGAGAGAGGTGGCAACCGGCCGACGAGATAGGCGGGGCATCTTGGGGGTGGTGGAGAGGTTAACCGGCGGCGATTTTCGTGGGGAGAGTGGGGAAAAGGGTGGAGGACGTGGGGCGACGGGGTCCCACGACCGGCGGGCTCGCGCGCGGGGTGGAGGAGGTCGGAAACGGCGGCGTCGTGGGGTGGCTCGGGCGGCCCTGGCGGTTGCAGCCGGCCAGCCAGAGGTAGGAGGAGGAGCTGACAGGTGGGGCCTCGGGTCCCACCTGTCGGGGAGAGAGAGTGGGGAAAACGGGCGAGGGAGGTAAAGCAGACTTGAGGGAGAGAGAGAGCCGAGCGGGCCGTGGGAGAAGGCCAGCCCGAGAGGGAGAGAAGGGGGGGGAATTGGGCCGAAAGGGGCCCAAAGAGAGGAGGGAGGATTTTATTTGTTTTCTTTTTATTTTAATTGGTTAAATGATCTTTGTGACTTTAAAACTATTTCTCGAGCTCCGAAAATTCACGGAAAATTCCGGAGAGTACATTAGGGCACCAAGAATATTACAAAATATTCCCGGCCAATGATTTTTAAAGGAAATTTTAATTTCCTCTATAATTTCACTTGATTAAATTGATTTAACTTTTATTTAATTTCTAGAAGATGTATTATTAATTGATTTTTATTCCCGAACGAAAATCGGGGCGTTACAAAAACTCCTAGGCCCGGCTGAATCGGTGGCAACCAATTAGGCACACCTTGACTTGTATTCCCCTCCGGGTGGGCCGATGGGGTTGTACTTGAAATGCAGTGAGGTTGGTTGAGTTGCTGAAGGAAAGCTTGGAGTTGCGCCTGCAGAGCCGAAGCCCCTTCCGCCACTGTTTGTGGCGCTTGGCCAGGTGGTTGATGGTGTGCTTGGGCAGCGACTGGTTGAGCTTCCAGTTGCACGTGAGGGGCTGAATGCACTGCTGCGGCCGATTGCTGCCCGGCAAAGTACACCGGCGCCTGTGCGGCTTGTGGCGGAATGGGCTGGGTCGTCACATGCGGATGGACTTGAGATGGGACATAACCTGCCGAATACTGAAGGATTGGAGCCGACGTGGCCTTGGTCCGCCTTGCCACCTCGTATGCTTGTTGTTGTTCTTGCATTTGGCGAAGCATGTCTTGGAGCCGTGTCATGTTCTGCCGCATGGTTTCCATGTCGGCTTCGGCTTGTGCTTCGGGGTCAGGGCTGACTTGGGCCTGCACAACGGCAGGCGCGGTTGGGGCCGCTGCCGGCTGCGATGGAGCGGCTTGGGGCACCACCAGTTGGATTGTTGAAAGGATCTCCGCCCTGGTCTGGAGTGCCCTTGCCGCCGCAGCCGCCTTCGCCACGTCGGCCGCGTTCGGCACTTGCACGGAGGTTGCAGGGGCCGAAGGCAGTTGTGATGTCGCTTGTCCTCCTCCATCTTCGGCAGTGGGCGCCGAAGGCTCTGCTCCTTCCTCGGCGGCCATGTCTAGTCCGGCGTCGCTTTCCTTCCACCTGGCAACCTTCTCCTTCACGACCCTCTTCGGTGGCATTCGCTCTCAGTGGTTTCGCTCGGAGGTCCCCACGGTCGGCGCCAGCTGTTGTCGAAATGACAACTGCATACGTCGAAGGACGTGGTAACTCAACAGTGGTTGGAAGGAAACGAAGTGTATTGAATTTTGAATTTCTTTTTTTGGGATCCCCCTCATTACATGGCCCTAGGGGACTATTTATAGCCCCATTACAGGTTCTTACTACTAGGGTTTAGGTTGTACAGGGGAATTTACATGATTACCTTTACGAAAGGGACATTTACAGGGGTACATAATGTTATAGGGGCTCATGGGCCCCTGATGGGCCGTCTGGCGATCGCCGGCCCTGTAGCCCTTAGGCTTGATAGGCCGGAAAGGCTTCCTCGGCCCTCGCCTTGCACCCTTCGCCTGAGATAGTCTTCGCCTTACACCCTTCGCCTGAGACGCCTCTGGCCTGGCAGGGCACTCGTACGACTCTTCGCCTCATGCCGTTCTTGCTCCATAGCCTTCGCCACGGGTTTCGGCAGATTTAGTCGAAGGGCCTCATGCCATCTGCCAACAGGCTTCGACTACAAATTGCCAGTTGGTTGTATGGCCACAACTAGATCCACAGAAGAGGAACTTTTCCAGCCACATGAGCAAGAAAGCTACATGCTCTCGAGGAGTAACAGACCCTTGGCCCATATATGCCGCCACATAGCCAGACCAGCCACCTATGCTTTTGGTCTTGAAGTCAAATTGGTTCTTGGTGTTCATACTCATAGGGTTAGCCGATGAAGTTACATCAAATCCAGTAATCATGGTGATGTCGATTAAAGTTGGAGTCATCGGCCCTTGGTTGAATAAGAAAGCATTGATGGTGTTGGACCAGAAGTAGGTGGCGGCAGCCATCAGAGGCTCATCCTTAGCAGAATTGGCTATGGTGAGAGCAAGCGCTTGGCCGATTCCAATCTCATCCCAGTGAACTTTCTTACTAGCCAATACGCGTTGGTACCAGGTGGTCCAGCTCTTATCAGGAGTAGGTTTTTCGAGAGATGGCCAAGACTTGAAGGTATTCTTCCAGTGACCCAGGTTAGGGTTGGCTAGTCTAAAGGGGATTTGGTTGGTTTCACCGATGATGAAATCAGTGGGGTCGAGATTGCCGATTGGGCCAAGAAAATAGTGGTTTTCGTGTGATAGGCTTGGAATCGCAACTAGGTTGGAGAGATGCTGCAAATCCGAAACAACCGAGAAAAAGAGAGCGATATAAGATAAGAGAAAATCGATCTGCTGCTAAGAAAGGGGATCTAGCCGACGAGGACTTACCTCAGCGTACTCGGCTGATGGCACATCAGATAGGTTGGTGGAGGATGACATCGCTGCGGGCGGAAATCTCGCCGAAGATGAAGTCGCCTGGGAGTCGCTTTTGCATCGGAGGAATCGTCGGAGAGAGAGAGAACAAAGTTTCGCTTGAGCGGTGAAAACGGAAGTCACGGTGTGAGATTTCTCGAGGGTGACGGTTAGTATTTAAAGCACGGCAGTAACGGTCGGAAAACGGCAAAGTGCGAAACTTGCTCGGGGTCGATTTACAGCAAATCCGAAACATTACCAAATATTCCGGACTTGGGGGGCATGTGTTAACAACCAAATTTGGTAATATCAGCATCGAGAAAGAAGATTAGATCGAAACGAAGTCGGAGGCGGAGATCGGGTTCGGAAACAGAGCAGGAATCGGCTGGAGTCCATATCGGCTACGATTAGGATCGGCTGGGTCTGAGTCGGACTAGGTAAGCCGATGCAGCCGATTCCGGCAATGCGACTTGATGTATGATATCGGGTTGAGTTGAGGCACCTCAAGGTGATTGCCGCACATGGATAGAGTCCTAAGAAGGCAATTTTATCTATTAATTAGGATGTTTTATGTAATTTCTTTAGAGATACGCTTGGGCAAAAGTCTGCCATAAAGACTTATGGTATCTTAGAGTTTGTTAGAGATATTAGTCGTGTCCGTTATGGACATATCTTGTAATTCTCGGGTATAAATAGACCCGAGCCCTATGTAACTTTGAACACACACGTTCAATACAATTTCGGCGCATCGCCACCCTTTTTGCTTTAGTTTTATTTCGACGAGTTCTTACTTTCGGGTTGAGCTGCATCGGTTTCGATCTTCAACAAGAGGTAAAACTTGTTATGACAACTTGTGTTCTCGGGATTAGTGCTTCCATCTTTATGATACTCTGATCTCGTTTATGTAATTCGTCGAGCTATCATATATCTTACATAATCTCCGGCAATGCCGCTATCTAATCTACAATCGGCTAACATCTGTCGGTAGAGGGCAGCCAATTAGGTTAGATTTCGATGTTGATTTAGATTATATAAGATATCTACCACTCTATGAAGCTTCCAGCAGCTTGATTGTCTAGATATTGTTGTTCTTTTCATACTTAATGTTGTATCAGTTGAGTTTGATCTATTAAGTCGTGCTTAGAAAATCAATCTCTAGCCTGCCTTCTGGTTGCCGATTAGGGTAGCATCAGAGTTTCAGCCGATCTTATCTGATTTAACTATATTTACCCTATATACTTTATTGACATGTTAAATCTACCCTTTATTTTAAGATCTTATTGCATTTAAGTATATTAGGCCTTTGTTTAATATATTCTACCTGCTTTAACATCTTAGTATAGAGTGGTATCGAAGTATTAGCCGATACATGCTAGATCTATATGATCGGCTATGCTATGAACATATATAGTCCCATTATTAATATATATTTTGATCTATCCCAATCACTTGATTTAAGTATATATCGATATAAGGAGTATATATTGTTAATATCTATAGCCGATCGAGTAGATTTAGTTCCTTCTTATTTATTCATGACTGCCGATCGATACATATATGACATCGGCTCAAAGATAAATGATATGTCATCGGCCTCTAGCCGATCGACTATCATTTATAGATTTAACCGCGGTTTCTTTGCTTCTATTTCTTGTTGATTATAGGATCAAATCAACTGACACGCTCATACATTCTAAGGCGAGCTTTGGACCTGCACTGGAGTTAAGCAGATCTTTCAGGCCTCGTGTTTTCTGTCAACAATATTTCATAAAAGTTTTTGAATAAAACGAATGGTCGAACATGTTTAAAAAAGTCAACGGTGTCAAACATTTAGGGAAGGAGGGAGTAGTAGATTGTGTGTAGGTGTAGCCACCCCATGCTATGACGTTTGCATGGTCAGCCAAATTGGTTAAAACACTGCTCAACCAAAATCCTACAGGGCTAAGATTGTTATTATCATGTCCAAAGTACAACCACCAGTCACCATCATCTTTTTTCTGCATGTCAATAAAAGCAAATAAAGTTAATTGAAATATCCACCAATGATGTCAGTTGATATAAAAAAAATGTAAACTAATAAACACTGTGAACAAAATGAAAACCTAGTGTCACTAAACCATGTATTTACATTTCATACACCTTATTAATTTGACACCCAATTCAGTATCCACTAATTCGCTTTTAGATTTATGATGTTTCAAAAAAAGATTAAGACAAAAAAGCATCAATACATTCAACTACAAACCTTAAATATCTTGATTGTGATACTCAGAGTGCCATTAGTTGGCTCTAAAATATCTCCAGGAGTTATAGGGGAATTGTTTACAGGTACAAAACCATCACGGTCCAGATTATAGCATCCTGTCGAGACACCATTATCAACCTATATATGTAAAAAAATAAACAAAAGATCCTAAGTTATACACGATAGTATAAGCATGCGGTAATTAAATAATACGAAGAGGCAACAAACTACATACCGTCCACGCTGTATAAAAATGTGTTTTGCTGTCACCATGAAGAGATGACCGGGTTGACCTACATATGAAATAAAACAATCACATAAATGGTATTTATACTTATAAATATGTTATACTTGTGAAAATGTTGAGAAAACTAACATACCATCCATCCGGCAAATAAAGCATTTCCGTCAGTAAGATCATGGCGTTGCTCATTTAGTACCGCTAAATCTGCTGAGCTTACTTGGTCCTTGTTCAAATTTGGGAACCCATATACATCAAATGTTGCCATGGCACCAAGAAGCTCATCTGAGGGTGATGTGTTCGAATAACATTGAGCTTGCTGTGGAAAAACTCACACATAAATAACAATCTGAGACAATTTATATCTTTCTGGGAAATGTGCCAACGCATTGCGACAGATGCCAAGTAAATATGCTTTAAGATCTACAGTAAGAAATGTAATAAAATATTTGACTCTACAAAATTATACTACCATGTTTTTATAAGATCATTGCAAACAGCCTTTTTTTTTGCAAAAAAATGTATATATACAAATATCTATCCATAGAAGATATTGATAGGGGATTGACCAAAATCATATACCCAACATCTCATTGAGGTAAATATGTATTAGGGATTTGCAGTTGCAGCAATTAAGGCTGATACCATTAAAAATCATGTCTAATTTCCCAAAAAACAATTATGTCTAACAAGTAAAGAAACAAATCTTATAAATTTCATTTGAAGTATGTAACTATCTTTATAAAATATTAACATAGTTTTTGTAATATTAAGATTTCCTCGCATTATCAGATCATTACTAGGTTCTACCCTCTTTGGAAAACAATATTTTGCTGTTTTCACCCTTTTCATTCATTCTATTCCTTTATCTCTCTGTAATTACCCTTTTGCCCCTCCACCCTTTTTTCTATGGGACAATTTCGTTTCTGCCCCTACTCTGATGTCTAATATTGATTTTACCCCTACTTTTTAGGGTTTTCGTTTTTACCCTCACTTTTTTAAACTGAACGCTTGTTTTGCCCCTACTTTGGATGGTGAAGTTAACGGTATTAAGTAATTGACAAAATGACATTTATACCCTCTCATATATGCTCATTAATTGTGTTTTTGTCCCCATTTTATGCATGTAGCTTTAGAACTTTATTTTTGTGAGTATATTTAAAATTACATGAAGCACATTGACTAATATCTAAAGGAACAGATAATTACATTTTACAAAATGTTGTCAAAATTTTGTTTAAGTTCTATCAAAATGCTGAAATTTTATCAAAATTCCATCAAATTCAGAATTTGTCCAAATTGTTATATTAGTCAATGTGCGTCATCTAATTTTAAATATACTCCCAAAAATAAAGTTCCAAAGCTACATGTATAAAATGGGGACAAAAACACAATTAATGAACATACATGAGAGGGTATAAACGTCATTTTATCAATTACTTAACACCGTTAACTTCACCATCCAAAGTAGAGGCAAAACAAGCATTCAGTTCAAAAAAGTAAGGGTAAAAACGAAAACAATAAAAAATAGGGGTAAAATCAATATTAGACATCAAAGTAGGGGTAGAAACGAAATTGCCCCTTTTTCTATATACTATATTTTCTTTCCATATCCAAAGTATGGGTTAGTCCTACCGCAGCCATGTTGATGTCCTACTCATTGATCTTTCCACTCCGCAACGGTCACGGAATGGGCATGTGAGAACATGAAAGGAGTATGGGAATTCCACGAGCAAGGAAGTAGGGACAAAATTAAGCGATATTATTCTAGAGGGGTCAAAACACTTAACTGAAGAAGGAAGGAAAAACTAGTCCATTAGCAATTTTTAGATCTTTGGGGGCAATCAAGGAGAAAATCAAGGATTGCAACAAAATATGAAGATATCTAATGCCCCAATGAAAATTCTACGCGGAGTAGTTTTAACTCACATAGGATGTTTCTTGACCGGGAGGCTTCACTAAATCCTTTTTGAGTAGCGAGCTGCTTGCAGAGGATAAACGATTCCCCATGTGTAACTCCCTAGGATCTTGATCATATTCCCATGATGATATCAAACTTGCTTGCTCCGAACAAATGATCAGAAGACACAGTAGTAGTAAAACACGCATTACTTGACTCATTCTACAACTAGAATTTCTCACTCCTCTATGAGTAAGATAAGAACTACTCAAATAAGTTGCGGAAATTTTTTTTCTAGATAAAAGGTTTTTGTGTGCTTTTATTTCCTACAATGAACACGGCTTTATATAGATGGGCAGAGGTTGTTCTCTCAGTAAGAGTTTATACATCTATAAAGGTAGGTGGCAATTTATTGTTCTAGATATGCATACACTGGAAATAATAAATGTCAGATTGAGAAAAATCAAAACAATTTCCTAGAATTAATTATGTTGGATATGTATCTTTCAACTTTCCTTTTTTTTTAACTGGTAGACGGCAGGAGAACTGCCGTTTATATTACAACGAGTAAAATAGAGGACAAATAAAAGTTAAAGTTATTACAAAGGCTAAAAAAGAGAAAAGGGCTACTGAAGGAATGAAAGAAGACCATAAGCTATTTCAGGGATGCTTGAAAGCAAAATCCCTTTGCTTTAAGTCTTCTAAACTTAGGTTTACAAGGGTAGCACACGAGATCTAAAACAAAAAGATACTACTAGTAGACCACCTACATTGGAGATTTAATCAAGACATTTTCAAAGACCCAATTATTTCTTGTCAACCACAGAACCCCAACAAACACAAGCCCCCCCCCCCCCCCAAAAAAAAAAAAAAACTATTGCAAATGAAATTTAAAATATTCAAAACGTTCAGATAAACATGATAGTTCTAAAGCATCTCTGATGATACACCACACAAATGTAGCAATGGGACATTTGAGGAGAACATGATTAGTAGACTCTTTTTCCTAACACATTTTACAAAATTCTTTTTCATTTTCTTTTTACTAGCTGAACATCACTTGGCCAGCCTCTCTCTCCCAGCCATGTATATAAAGTGTTTATTTTTGGAGGAATTTTACTCTTCTAGACCTCCATCACGCCCGTCTCTCACCCATCGAAACTTTAGCGATTTGTACATTTATAGTGTTTGTTTTATAAGCCCCTTCTTCTAATGTGGACAAATTAGCTGATCTGGTTCATCTATTAATAAGACATTCCTCAGCTTATCTGTCGACTCAACTAAATCTCTCTGGTCACTTTAATTTAGATTCCTTCTTAACTCTAAAACCCACTATCCTCCATTCTTGGTGCTGATTAATGTAGTATAGTTGAGAAACAGGATTTATAAACGGATTTTGTCATACCACTCATTCCCTAAATTTAATTTGAACATAATTGCCTCTTTTAGCTTTCTTTTCAGAGAACAATTGCACCCATTTTGTGACTCATGTAAACCCTTCTAGAACTGGGATCCTCTCTGGGGATGAACTTCTGTAAAACTAGTTCATTGCCCCGCGCGTTGCATAGCAGGTCATTTTGTCATTTTAGAACCACAAAACATACTTGCGCATATATATAGTACGTTAGAGATCATATCTTATATTTGATAATGGTTAAGGCATAAGAAATAGTCAACAAATGAATATATTTTTGCAATCATTGTTCAGTATATTAAAACGTCCGATCATTGAATCTTTGGACGTCAATTTAACAATAAAAAACAACAGTAACAATATTTAGTAACGCCATGAGACTTACGGTTCCATCTAAGTATATAAACAGTCTATGAGATTAGCCGGATAGCATACACCAGTTCAAAAGACCAAGACCAAAGTATTGCAAAATACTCCCTCCGTATTTTAATGTATGACGCCGTTGACTTTTCGACCAACGTTTGACCATTCGTTTTATTTAAAATTTTCGTGCAAATATGAAAGTATTTATATCACACTGGTGGAGAAACCCTTTGTAGTCCCGGTTCGTAACCCCCCTTTAGTCCCGGTTTCCAAACCGGGAGTACCAATCCGGGACTAAAGATCGAGCTGACCATTTTTTTTTTTGCATGGCCCTGTTGCTGCATGGTTTATATATATATATAGTTTATATATATATATATATATAAACCATGCATATATATGTTTCAATACATATATATGCATACATATATATATATATGTATATATATATATATATTATATTATATTATATGTATATACATGCATAATATATATGTATTTATACACATATATATGTTATGCAAATTAATGCATATGTATATAGATATATATATATGACCAAAATATATTTACATTATAGAAAATGTGTACACATGCATATAGAAACATATGTAGTCATGTATTAATTACAATCCATTATATGTCCTAGCTAGCTAGCTATCATTTCGACGTAGTAGTACTCGCTGCTAGCTCAGAAGCTAAGGACCGGTGAATTGTGTTTCCGTCGTAGTAGAATTCACCCTTGGGATTAAGGATTTCTTCGTTGATGAATCCCATGAGTTGTTCTTGAACCGCCGTGATAAATTCCTTGTGTGTGGTCAGGTTATCCCTCATGCGAATAAACTATATGAATGTATGAAATTGATTAGTAATTAAACAAGAAATCGCTACGTAATGAAATTTTGAATTTATTTGTACGTACATCGAGCTCTCTTGTGGTGATGATTTGGTTTGCAAGGCAGTGGCAATACTCGCACACGTAATAGCCGCACAAGTTATTTCCCTGCTTTTGCTTTGCGCACTACAAATAAATGACAAACAACGAGAGATCTAATTAATATACACTTGTATGTATTTGAATCGGAGAAATATAAATATAGAGCATGTGTACTCACAGGAAATTTGAACTTCCGCCTAAGTCTTTCTCTCCATTTGCCGCGGACCAAATGACGGAACCGATACCAAGCCCTACATGGAGTTTAAAGCTATGATTCGTAGTAGCAATTAACATAACAAGATTTTCTTAATTAACAAAGGAACTTATGACGGTACCTGTCTATAAGTTCGAAAACCTTGTCGAACGTAGACTCTTTTTTATCCATTGAGTCATATACGTTGACGGTGCAGGCCTCCAGGTCGAAGAGTAAAAGCACCCAGTGGAATCTGCAATGTGCGTGGGATGCATTACATATGAAACACTTAGCAAGTTCGTACGGGAATGAAATTTGGTATGTAGGAAGACAGTAAAATTAAACTAACTCTGTGTTGTATGGCAACAGTATGAACGTCTTGTAATGCTGCGCCTTCAGGAGATGGACGAGATTGTCCTCTGTTTCTTGTGGATATTGGTCGAGCATTGCGACGTTTACTCTCCGAGGGTCGATGAATCCAGTATCGAAAACCCTCCGCCGTCGGGCCCTTTGAATCTCCATTCTACAACGATAAAAGGGAGTATATTATTTTCTATAGTCTACTTATATACAAGGACCTAATTAATTAAAGGAGACGTATAGTAAGAAATCTAACTGAACGATATACTTACAAAATCCAGCAACTCATAATAGAGACGTCGACGGCGTCCAGCTGGTATAGTTCGTAGATATGTGTGAAATTGATCCAGAGAATGTCATCTCCTTGCAAGAAGTCCGTATCCCTAATCCTCGCTCCGATCATCTCTCTACCGGTGGCGCTCATCTCCATGTACAGCTGATGGAACTTGTACATTTGTGTGGGTAGGGACTGCAGCAGCTCAGGCTTGACAAGCGGTTTACCGAGTTCGTACATGTATTTCACTTCCGCCTTTTCGATTGGTGCGACTCCTAGCAATTGATCCGTAGTTAGACCGGTGTCAGTAATAAATTGTTCTATCGTCATTTCTTTACCGGTAACCAACGGCTCGATCTCCTGTTTTGGTTGCTCTCCAAGCTGAGGGACTGGTTTGGACTTTCCAGAAGATGCTTTCTTCAGCGTTCGCTCATAGTCCGATAGCTTGATGGCCTCCTTGACAGATGCAGACATACCCCTGAAGAAGTTCCTGACACTGGGGTCTATAGGAATCTTCTTTTCTGGACTTCGAGGCTTGAATTGTCTCTTGACTTCTGATGCAACGTAAGCGTCAAGCTCCTCTTGCGTGCAATCGTACCCCGGGTCCTTGTTCTTGTCGGCGTCAACTTTCGCCTTCTTCGTTGCCCTTGTGTGGGCAGGCGGTGCAGCTGGGGGGGCCCTTGACTTTGAAGGTGCCGGAAGAGGAGCTTGCGGGGGAGTAGGTGTAGGAGCACGAGGAGGAGTCGGTGCAGGATCCTGAGGAGGAGTCGATGCTGGAGCCTGAGGTGGAGACGGTGCTGGCGGAGCATGAGGAGGAGACGGTGCAGGATCATGAGGAGGAGATGGCGGAGCCGGAGGAGATGGTGCACGAGACGCCGCTTGTCGCCCAGGGAGGATGATGTACCGCCTGCGCCATAGAATAATGGCATGGCTTGTGTCTCGTAGATGCGTCTCACCGTCTCCTCCAGGGTAATCCAGCTCGAGGTCCTCGTACGCGCCTTCGACCAACTCAACTTCGACCTTCGAGTATCCTGCTGGAATCGGCCTGCAGTGGTAAGTACCTGAAGGGTCCGTTGGGATGGCCATGCCCGACGCCACCTTCATGTTGTGAGAGATTATTTATTAGTAATCAACATATATAAGCAGGAACTAGCGGAATGGCTAAATCTTACCTTTATTGATAAGTTCTTGAAAGGAATATGCAGCTCACATGGTGTCCGCTGAGTGATGTCATCAACGGGACAGGTCGATTCGTCCTGTGTTTGCATGGCGTCCATGCTCTGCGATCCTACCTGCCCCGTTGAGGCGCAGCTGCTACGGTTTCCTGACGGGCTCACCATTGCAGGAGGAATGGTCGGCTGGGGATCATGGGACCGATGTGCGGCCATGCGTTCATCAACCTTCCTTGCCACCTCCTCTTGCATGTTGAGTTCGTAGCTCGATACCCGGAACTCTAGGTCTGCAATCTTCGCCTCGGTATCTCTCTTGCTCCTCATCCGACTCCTGTACGTGTGGATGTCCTCCTTGAAACCAATCTTCCAAGGAATCACCCCTTTCCCTCGTGTTCGTCCTGGATGCTCTGGAGTCTGCAGGGCGAGTGTCAGCTCGTCCCTATCTCTGTCGGGTCGGAACGTGCCCTGAGAGGAGGCTTCCACTGCATCTGTTAGTCGTTGCGCAGCCTCTCGTATCTGAACGCCGAATACCAGTGAGCCATCAGCTGGGTTGAGCGTTCCACCGTGAGCATAGTACCAGAACTTCGATCGTTCCGGCCAATTGGCTGTTGCCGGTTCGATAC